AAATAGCCCCTCGGGAACCTTCCTGCAGGTGGTCAGTCCACTGGAAGGCGCCAACCGCCCTCACCAGGAGGTGAACCCTGGGGTTCAACACCAATGACAGAGACATTGCCTTTGGGCCAAAGCACCAACCTCCTGCAATAATAATAATAATTATTAATTAGAAATGTATTGATCACATATGGGAAATTCTTGTGTTATTGTTAAGTATGTGGTTCCTCTGGGAATCTCAAACCCAGGACTCTATTCTCTGCTTCCGAGGCAGGCGTGCTAACTGCTACACTATTTTATTTTTAGTGTTTCACACGTAAAAAAATATTGTTTTTAGTAAAAAATAAATAAAAGACAAAATGCAACGTCTTAATATACCATTACTTTTAGCCTCTCCATCTCCTTCTAGCTAACATTACGTTGCTAAGCTGCAAACACAGCATCATTCTAACACAGCCTAAATGCTTTTGGCCTCCTCTACGCCATCTATATGGAAAACGTGGACATTGCAGGGAAAAGGCAGAGGTATAATCACAATACAAACCAATCATATCATTTGGACAAGATTACAAAGCTGAACGGGCCGTATCCGGCCCCCGGGACTTAGTTTGCTCATGCCTGTTCTAACACATGTCCTCATCTACAAGCCATATACTGTGTTCTACTATTTGTAAAAGTTAGTTCCTCACAGCCTTGAATGTCCTCAAAGCCTCCTCAGATCACGCACGAGCATCAGCTCATAATAAACAGTTGATTTGTCAACAGTTTGACATCCTGACACATGTCTAAACCTTTATTTATTATTTCATTGTTCATGTTCATTTGCTCTCCTCACACTTCAGCAAACTTGAATGACTCACAGCCGCATGAATCGGCTAGGTCAGACCCAGCCTGAGCTATTTTTAGCCTGTCCATTAAGAAGTTTTGAAGTGTGCCAGTACTCCACCAGAATGCTTAAACATCAGTGTCGCTGCAGCAGTGGAGACTGACGTGCACAAAGCCGGTAGCGTGAGAAGGTAAAGGATAGACTAAAGGATGGTGCAAAGGATTGGTGATGGATTGTACAGGCTGTGATGCAAGGGGAGCGGTTCTTCACACTCATGTCAAGTTTTTTTTTTTTTTGGCGTCTCAGCCTAATGAAGAAGGAAAGACAGCACTGCCTTTCCCTCCTTCTCTCTGCTGTGTTCTCTCTCTCTCTCTCTCTCAAAATGATGCGTATTGTGTTCCGTTAATAGACCTTAGTGTGAAAAGGAGTGAAAGAATGACAGTAAGGAAAAGTAAATAAGCAATTTCACAAAGCTTTTGTTTGTCTCTCATCTGGGCCAACGCTTAAACAATAGTTAATCTTCCCTGGTAAGGAGAGAGACAAAGAAAGACAAATACAAAGACGGAGCACAGAAAAAGGAAATGGATACATGGTGGAGAATCAAGATGTAGAACAGAAGACGTTTCATATTGCTGCAGCAGTGGAGACAAAGAGAGTTGAAGGTTTGGTGATAGATCACACAGGACGTGATGCACCTGGAGCAGCTCTTTACATTCATGTCCGTTTTTTTTTTTTTCAGAAATGTGTCGATCAATCAGAAACCCAACTACAGTACTTTCAGGGTTTCAGACGTTTGAACTGTAATATTGAGGTCATTATGTTTCATTGTGGGTGAGGCAAAACCTCAGTTGTGTTATTGTCATGGCATGTTCTACAACAAGGCATGATCACCGTATTTTTTATAAGTCGCACTTTCTTTCATCCTTTGGCTGGGTTTGTGACTTCAAAATGACTCTGCAGTATAATCATTTATATATTTATAATTCACCATCAGTGAATTATCAATGACAATTTTCCCAATGGCTGATGGGAGTTAACACAGAAAACATTCAAAATCATCTGATGGGATTATCTTCTCATATCAATTCAACCTGTGACAAAATTTAAGCCCAGGTTTAATTGACATCTACAGGGTTTTTTTTTTACTGAAATAACACCAAAGAAGAAGTTTATTTTGTATTAGTGCAAAAAGAAAGAAACCACAATTGACAATAATGACAGGTTTAAAGGAAGCTGCACAGACCACTTCCTGCCACTGGTGAGTTCATATTCAGCGTGTCGTTGGAAAGTGTGTTCTTAAAGAAAGAAAATAACAGGTTTTTGATCTTCCTTTTGAGCAGAAAGATTTGTGAAGAGCACACAGGTTTAATGGCAGCTGACAAATGATGTCTGTTATACAGTTTTTGCTGAAGCTGCAGATCAGGTCATGGATGCATTTGTTTCGGTCGTGATCAGGGAGACTCTGTCTCCGAGCCTGATGGTGCATTGAAACAATAAGCCATACACCCGTTATAAAAAATACAGCTAAAAAAAAACAAACAAAAAAACTGCAATTTCCCAGCCTGGGATCAATAAAGTACATCTATCTATCGATCTCTCGATCTATCGGTCTATACTTTGTGTAGCATCGACGCCGAGGCTTATGTCAACATTTTCGTCATATTCTCTTAATAAGGCGACATCTGTTTGCAGGGACGTGAAGTCGAGCTTCTTTGTACACAGTATAAAAATGCAGCTACTGTGAAACAGATTGGGTGCTTTAATTAGCTGCAGTGTAGACCTGTATTCTTTTGACAACGTCCACAGCATCATGAGGAGAATCACAGAACAACAAACAAGGACTGTTTAGTCTTGTTTGCAAGAACTTGCAAAGAAACCCAGTTGGAATTTCCACATGTAAAAATGGAATAAAAGAGACCAAGTGTCCAATATGTTACATTCCTACTTTAACATGTTGAGTTAATCATTCATAGCTGAAAGAACTAAACTTATAAAACGACTTATTGTAACACACAACACGCATTTTAAGATCACCAGTAAAAACAAACAAACAAACTATAAAGTCTTTTATTTTGTCCTTTTTGTTTTGAATAATGCATGTCTCTATTTAAAGAACGGGAATTACACGTTATTTCTAATCTAATACAGATTAGGTTTGCAGTTAAAGTGCATGTATAATGCATATGTATGCATAATGTTTCATGTGAACATGGTACAGAACGTGTACAGCAGAGTTGTTTATTTAGTTGAAATATTCTTTTCTGTTTGTGTCATATGGCATTAACATGTCTCAACAGCCTTGATGAGGCTGTTACAGGTTGTGTGAGCAATGAGGCCGGAAGAGAAATGCACGTCATTGCTACTGGAACGACATGTTATGCTAATGCAAACATGTTGAAGCTGGGTTTCATTTGCACTTCACAGAAATTATACATGGTTAATAACACCCCCCCCCCCCCCCCCACCCCCGCTCCCGCTCTCTCTCTCTCTCTAGTAGTGGATAGTATCTCTGTGTTAGACCCCTTCCTTTAAAGCAGTACTTCTCAAATAGTGGGGCAGGGCGTGTTGAGGGGCCAGGGGGGTCTTGAGGGGCTTCTAATGGAAAATGGCTGGTGTTATGCTTGAATGATACAAAGCCTCCAGTCACTAGGTGGCAGCAACTCATACAGTGGTTTGTACAGATAATAATATACATGTATATTCAACAGTATTTCAATTCGTGGGGTGTGGATGGGGGGGGGTGGGGGGGGGGGAAAACCTTTCTGTCCACAAGGGGGGCCATG